TGTGAACGGATTGTGTTCAAAATTGGACCATACAATGTCAACATATCATACTTACTACCTATAGTTATATTAACAATTTATTGATGCAAAATAGAAACAAATAACAAAACAATAATGCGGGTGGTCTATGACCTAGAGAGGCATTTGTTTACATTTTTGATTATTCGATTTTAAAGTATTTAAGACCTCTTCTCACTTGTGATTATGACGTTTTATAAAGGACTCTGAATTGTTGTTACTCAGGCAAGTTGTGCTTTGCTACATGTTCAATGGTATAAGAACACACACCATACGTGCAATACATGGACAGTTTCCGGCTAGTGTAATTTTCGAACAGACCAGTTTTTTATTATTTATTTGTGGATTCGATGTACCCTCATCATCTATACTGTCCAATAATGAAATAGATAAATACAGAATCCCTAAAGAAAGCCCAACACTGCAAAATTGAAAATGTTGCAGGCTCGGTTTGATAGAGCCTGTTCATGGACGGTACTGTAAAGTGCAAACTACCGTCCACGCCCTCTAGCACCGGCTTAAGCAGAATTCAACATTTAAACAAGAGCCATACAACACCATATCACCCGCAAGGTAATTCGGGCCCAGAGCGATTTAACAGGACGCTTTTGGACATGCTTGGTACGTTGGAGCCAAATCAAAAGAGAGATTGGAAGAAATACATAAATCCTCTAGTTTATGCTTACAATTGTATTCCACATGAAAGTCTAGGAATTTCACCTTACGAACTCATGTTTCTTAGATCTTAGAAGACTAAAACTTCCAGTTGATTTAACATTTGAAAAGGCTACTGAAAAGGAAATAAACAGCAAGGAGGCAAAGGATTACATTATTGAAATGAAGGATAGGATAAGAAGAACACAAAAGATAGTTAACTAGCATTTGGACAGGTCAAAAATAAAACAGAACAAGTATTATGACAAGAAAGCGAAAACTGCAAAGATAACAGTTGGTGACTTGGTATTGGTGTAGAAACTCGCATTTGATGGAAAGCATAAGATAGATGATAAGTTTGAAGAAGAGTTGTATCATGTTAAAGAACAACCAAGACCAGACATGCCTGTTTTCCGTGTAAGGTCCGAGAAAACAAATACAGAGACAATTCTGCACAGAAGTCACTTGTTTCTGGTGGATAATATTGAAGATGATGATGTAGATACTTATGAAGAGTTGAATGATGGAAATTTTAAAGATAATGTGTCATCTGATGCTAATGCAATTGATGAAGTTGTAAGGAAAGATAACTGTGACGTCACAGGTGATGATTCTGAAAGTGAAGATGGACAGAGCTCTGTTTCTTTTACAGACTGGTGCGGGGACGCCTGTCATCCTGACACAAATAAGAAAAATGTTGTTGAAGATGTTGAGGACACAGTAGAAGACAATGTGGCAGAGGATGATTTTGGTGAAGTTGAGGACACGGTAGAAGAAAATATGGCAGGAGATGGTTCTGATGATGATGGTGATATTCACAGTCATAAAGAAGATGCAGATGGTCTTGGTGATACCTCTAAAATGGAAATGCATACAACAGATGGTGCAAACATAGAAGATGCAACTGAAAAACAAAATGATGAGACTAATAATGAAGTTAAACCTGTACCAATGCCTCGAAGAACTGGGAGAACTAGAAGACCACCGGACAGATATGGAGAATACCAGATGAATCGGATGGCGCAGTGTTCAGGAGACAATAAATTTCAGGTTTTAGATAAATTAATGAATTCTGGAATCCTTGACGACGTAGATAGTGTGCTTGCATATAGGATTGTCAGAGCTTTCGTTAAGTGATATTGTCATTTAAAAATGTCAATATATGTATATGTCATTAATACTGTCAATTGATATATTTGCCATTTGATATATCATTTTACTTTATTTTTTTATAAAACAATGTATGAGTAATAATTTTTTTTCATTTTACTTATATAAGGCTAATTGCGAGGCCGCAATTAAGAACTGTGGGGGCGGAAAGTGGTAAGTTATTTTTTTGTTGATTTTGAATTGATATTAAGTCAACTGAGTAAGGTGTGTTACAACTTAATGGATAGTGGTTATGATAAATTTGGGTGAGTATGATTCATATATCTAGTATATAGTATAAAAGGTTAATGAAGTGTATTTTGAGTAGGAGCGTCGTGTAGTTGTTCTTTGACATGACATATTTATGACGTGTGACTTAATGACGAGATGTCATTTTTGTAAGGTGGGGAAGTGTGTGACCAGACCATCTTGACTGTGTTTTCAATGTATTTTGTAAGAGTTTTAGTCATTGCCATGCACTTTGAACTTTATTGTTGGCATATTCTGTTTTGATTGGTTGATAGTAATTTCTTTGTATCACGTGCTGATTCGCGGGGTTTTCAGTGCCGCCTACGTTTTTCTGTGTAACCTGTAGTTGAGATTGTTTCTTGGTAAACTTTTGAAAGTTTGTCTTATCTTTTATAAGGAAATATATTTTGGTATGTATATTTAGTATTTGTTGTATTACATGAGCTTCTGTTGAAATGAGTATTACATTCGTTTCTTTGTTTTCGGCGATATATTAGACGTATATGTAATATTGCATATTTTGTGTACATGAAATTGAAATGGCATAATCTGGTAAATTAACTATTACTACTGTCACATATATTGGTAAATTAACTATTACTACTGTCACATATATTTCTCTCTTTATTTTTAACTTACAGACTAAGCAGCACACACTGGAGAGAGAGAGAGAGTGTAATGCTGAATGTGATTTGTACCATATACTGATGAGTGTACATGTCGTGGTTATGTTTGTACTATGTTATGTTGAATACAGGTTTGACATGTGATTTATATGTATTAGGATCTGTGACATTTATGAAAGGTTAAGTATTAATGTATTTTGGCCACTAGCATTTGAGGAATTAATTGTATTACTCATACCATGATGATCTTGTAAAAATGTTGATCATGTAATATGTATTTGTAATTCATTATTTTAATTATATAGTAATGGTTGATGAAATGTATTTTTCAGGTCACTTGTTGTAACTGCAAGTAGCTGTCAACCATCATTTGTAATTGCTTGTGACAGATATGTAAATAAAGAAAAGAACTTAGAAATGAACCCAACATCTTGGTTTTTATTTAATATATAATGCTTTATGTAAAAGCCCAATAGTAACAATACCACAATGCCCCTATATCAAAAGCTGGTCAGCATTTGGCAACCACTGAATCCGAACATGACAGTTTTGCCACTATGTCTAGTCTAGCTATGACATTAAATGATAATATAGCTGGCCTTAGTGATTTTGCACTTTAAAGGATAGTGATGATAATTGTAAATTATTCTTCTGCTTGAATACAAAGTAAATACACCTTCTTTATTTAATAAATAAATCATTGTGATCAGACATTTAAATACGTTATTATTATTATGCATAAAAAATAATCACGATGATAATAATGAAAAGAAAATAATGATTTATAGATTTAACCTTCATACAATTTGAGTTTGCTGTTAGAGCTTTTTTCCTTTAAAAATCACAATATCTTGAAATTTTAAAATTATTTTGGCGTTTATAAATAACAATAATTTAGTCACAATATATCATTACAAACGTCGATAGAATTTTTAAAGTAATACTATTTTAGTAAATTACCTAAAGAGTGACTTATGTTAAGTTTTAATCTGCAACAAAAGACAAATTTCTATTCAAGTTTAAATTTTGTAAGGTAAGCTGAATTTGAAATAAATTTTGTAAACATGTCGAAGTAAAACCCTTACAATAGTTATAAGATTATGAAGAAAAAAAAATTCATGGACATTTATTAAACTATTTTTGAAAATTACTAAATAAGAAAATAAATAAACAAATGATATAAATAGCACTGTCAGCCTGAGCATTATATGCCCGATAGTGTTTTTTAGTAAAAGGATGAAATATTTGTAAGACATGGTAATTAAATAAAGTATTACCTCCTTCAAATAACAATCCTCCTCAATGAAGTTGAATATTGTGGGCCAAATGGAACTTAAGTAATGCTCCGAAAATGTTTTCAGCTAAAAGGTAATGAAGACCTTGAACTTTGACTTTTTGACCCCAAAATAAATAGGGGTATTCTACCCAATATAGACAATTATCCTCTGAAGTTTGAATATTGTGGGTCAAATGGAACTTCAGTTATGCTCCGAAAACTATTTTCAGTTTTAAGGTAATTGTTTCCTTGACGACCATTGATCATGTGACCTCAAAATCAATTGGGGTCTTCTACCTAATATTGACAATAATACTATGAAGTTTGAACACTGTGGGCCAAATGGAACTTAAGTTTTGCTCCGGAAAATAAATTGCTAACGGACCATGGGGAATAAAATAATATGTCCAAAATTCTTTCGGGCAACAACAAATAGAAAATGAAAAAAGAAAACAGAAAATGAATAAATATTTATCCATATAACCCGTCTCATTTTCGAAGAAGTGACTATTGACAGCTTAAATATCGAGGACAGTGTAGGAAACCATCATTATTTCAACTGAATATATTTATTGAATGTGTATAATTCATACCGAAATAAATTAACGAACAAAGAAAGTGTCGTACACTGACTAAGCCTATGAAATAGGCATGCGTGGTTCGTAGGGTTAATTAGGTGCTGACGCGCTGACGTGATACAGAAATACCATTGTATAAAGAGAAATGTAAATAAAGAAAGCATGAGTTTATGCCAGCATTATTTGTTTCACTATTTAGCAAATAAAACTTTTTCTTTCCATAAAAGTGAATTTGTCTGTAACAGAAGTTTAGTAATACCGTAAATAAATATATTTTTAGACAAAGCAATTATATATGGAATTTATTCATAAGTGTAAGATGCATGATCATATAAAACATATATTTATATAAAAGATATTAGGCTGCTCAAGAACAAAAATAAAATAAATGTACTAAATATTTTTGAATTTATTAACTTTTTTCAAAGGAATATTCATGACAATATGCAATTTAATTTTCGTTTTTATCAATATCTAAAATATTATGAAAAATGCAATAAAATTGTATAAACAGTACCCCCTTTTGCTATTGCAGTGACAATGTTTTACTCTTACGGTAATTTTGTAATTTAGTTGTCATATGTTAGAAATATAGAATGTTTGTATTTGTACCCGTCTATTCCGAATTCTAACAATCATTCAATGCATCATTCAATACTTTTAGAGAATAAGATAACGCGGAATTCATTTCAACAAAATGTTTCAAAATTAATATTCGAGTTGTTAATGAAGAATTTTATCTCTATATCTACATGAAAAATATTCAAAGAAGGCCACTCTCTCATCTAACGATCAAGTACTCATTTGGAACAACAGTACTTGGCATTGACAGGTTAACGTACTCTTGGAAACTGGACATGGGTTTATACCCAAGTTCAGTATACACGTCCTTGCAAATAATCTCCATGTTCTTTACAATAGTCCAATTTAAGTTTTTTCTCCACCAATAAGCTGAATTTTTTTTACGCTCTACTTTACTTACAAAAGTTTTTTTCGAAACAATATGCTTCATAAATTCAGGAAAATACGTCTCGTCTACATTCATGCCTATATAGTTATACAATATTTTTGACTTACTAAGCATATTCGAGGTTAGATCCTCGTAGTAAATAAATTTAAATCTGTCCGGATACTTCTTGTGAACATTTTGTCCTTTCCGAAAGTCATACAACATTTTATTGCACAATGATTTTGCGTTTTCTATTACTTCCTCATCTGTTTTAGAAGGAAACCATTTTGTCTCAATTCTGGAATTTATAATTGCTCTTGGATCTCTAAATAAATGAATGACTTTAAGATTTTTACGAGTATCAAGCAATGACGAAATTATATCTGTAGTTAGTCGTAACACCTTTGTAACTTTATGCAAAAAATGCTTACACGTGTTCGGAATATGCTGATATAGGCAAGTTGTGAAGTTTGTATCTTTGTTTCTGCACATTTCCCAGCTAGGACCTGTTCAGATTAAAACAATTTGTGGAAAGTATTTAACATTTAAAGTTTAAAGTGTCCAATAACTGTTTTGCATACTGGATAGAAATTTGAGAAAAGGGTTAATACTGAGAAATGAATACTAAATTTGTTAGCCGTTATCTTGAATGAAAATAGAGTACTTAAGGTGTTTAACTTTAAATAAATTATGCGTTTTGCAATAAATAGCTTAAATGATCGTACATCTTTATGAAAAAGATAAATAAAAGTATTTTCAAAACATCAAAAACCTATCATTGCATTAAATTATGTCCGAAGAAACTACCCTGTATTTCCTGAAATATAAGTTAATATCAGCAAAGTTACAGATTAAGTCACATCTGCTTATGATATAAAAAGGTTTCATATAAACGAACCCCCAAAATTAGCATGAATTTCGTGGTTTATAGTGGTCCGATCAGATTCGTTAAATTCACAATCGTAGATCTTGTGTAAAATGTTAACTGCCGTTTCAAGTGAACAAGGATTAAACCTAAAAGTACAATTTATTTTGAAATTTAAGTATGGTATGTTTATATTCTTCTATTATATATTATATATTTCATATATTATATAACGACGCTTAAGTTTAAATATTGTATTGAGCTTTGATTGACAATATCAGTATCCGTTATATGTTTTTGTCTAAATAAAGATTTCATGTTATATCAACAAAACACAATTACTTTCAACGAGCAATGGGCATGGCAAAAATAAAAAGTAAATGAACAAAAGCTTTATTTATTTAAATACATGTTTATCAAATAAAACCAGAAAAAAATTATTTCATTTGATTGATGTGTGTAAAATCTTTTAAGAGTTTTAACCTGTAAAGGTAGCTGTCAACTGCTTTCTTTTGCTCACCCGTCCTCTGCGTCGTTTCTCTACAATACAATGTGCACAAGCATGGTTTAATATTAGCATTTCTATATGCAAATTAAAAAGACACATTTAAACAATAAATGATGTATAAGAATAAATATACGTATTTGTTTAATGCATATAGATTGCCATAAACATCAACAAAAATATATGAGTGTAGTAAACCTTTTATGAAACATCGCATACATAAATATAACAACACCTTTTAGACAAAAACAAGACAACTGTAAAGTAAGTGGGAATAAATTTTCACACAAAAACTTCCGACAAATTTCTATCGTAAGTGAATTTTCGATAAATATCCTTTTCACAAAATATCTTAAGAAAATCTGAAGCGTAAAATATGTCGTAACTTTACGATAGGTGTCCCCCATTCGTAAGTGTAATTTCTGAATCTTTCATACAGACAGAACGAAAACAAATAAAAAATGGAAGAACAACTATTTTGTAAGCAAACAGTACATAATAAATAACACAAATTAAGTAAAAAAATGTTTTTCCAACATTTATTTTGTTAATTTCCAATGTTTTTCTAGAGAAATAACCATGAATATAACGAACAACTTTGTTTTGTGGTTTTGTGCTACTTGAAGTTTATGTTTAAGTTGTTTAGTAAGGCCACTATTCCAAGATGAGCTGGCATAATCGGAGTGACACTGTATTAAAGAGTTACATACTAGTATTTTAGCTCCATATTCAAACTGTTGCCTTGTCTATACAAACAATTTAATCCAGAGTTTACTTTCTGTGTTATATTATCAACAATAGAAGTGGCTGAGAGATCATTGTCCAAGATAGAACCGAGAAACTTTACTGATGGCTGAGCTTTTAAGGTGTAATTATTACAGTATATTTTAAACTGCTCTAGTTTTGACAATTTCCTCTTAGAACTAAAAACAATACATTCTGTTTTACCAAGATGTAATGATAGCTTCTTATCAACAAGCCATTTACTGCAAATTTTTGTAGTTCCTACCTTTAAAATTTGACTTTAGTGAAATAAATTGCACATCATTGTAAGAATAATTACATCTAATACACTTATTAATTCATAAATAGAATCAATAGAGGACATTACTTTAACACCATGTGATATTCATACTTCAGACTATATTTCAGTATATCAATTGACAGACAGTTTACATAGTTCAACATTCACTGACTTTGTAACTTCACACAATTCATTCCACAGTCAAACGCTTTAAATCTAACAAAATCTCTCGGTGGATCTTTGAAATTGCCAGAGCAGTAAGATGGATTAGAAGTCATCGATCTAACATCCCTTAAGACACACTTGTAATTCATATATATAGTATATTTATGTTTTTTCATTTACGCTTTAACATATTTAGTATATAGCTATTTCACTAACATCGTTCTCTGGAGAGTTAAACAGTATAGATACCTTCCTCCGCGTAATACCAAGCATCTCCGGGATAACAGAAGCACGATGAGTCAGTATAATACGGTACTGTAGTATTAAAATTAAAAATTATATTATTACTTTTTATATTATATAATATAAATATATATATAATTATTTAAGTTTTAGTTTTTTAGAGTTGCGCATGTATAATTACTATTACTTTATCATTACGAGAGTTTTAATTTTAGATATATATACAAAAATTTATACCTGAACTAGTTATTGCACATTCAGTATCGCAATGAACGTGCTGGGGGGTATCAATTTGTTGTAAGTGAATTACTTAAGATAATTTAGCTAACGAGTGGCTTTGAAAATGACTTGAGATTTAACTTACGATTATCGTTTAACAATTAGATCAATCGACTTTTTGTGAATTGTTGCAGGACGGACCTAATTAATCACCAAATATAAGTACATTCGTCACACCATTATGCATATTTAACAACAATAGTATTTGGGACACTTAATTTATATATACACTTTGAGACTTTACTAACATATAAGCAATACTTGTAGTTTCTATTTAAGAACAATACTTGCCCTACTAATTTGACCCAAAGTGCAATACTCTTAGAACTAGTTCAATTAATTACTGCAATGCAGCAATATTTTATACTAAACGCTACTATATAAATATTATATATTATATATATTATTATATATATATGTAATATATATATAATACTATTATATTGCAAGTTTTAAAACAGATTTCTTATTAAATTATTTATAAAATTTATTCATTATATTGCCAGCATTGTATAATTACTTATGTTGCTACTTTTTTATTCATTAATAACGAAGAAGACCTTTTTTTCTGAATCTTTTAGATAAATATAATTATTTTCAATTAAGATAGAAAATAGATCTATATCATTTTGAATCATTTTTCTTATTGAAACTTAATTGTGTTCAATAATATTTCAAGCTCTTTATCACTTGATTTTTAAACCGAAAACAAATATAGAGCATGCACATCAGTATCAAATGAACGTTGCTTTGGGGGGGGGGGGTATCGTTAGATTTGTTGTAAGTGAATTTTTATCTTAAGATAAAATTTTAGCTCACGAGTGGCTTTGTGAAAATGACTTGAGATTTAACTTACGATTATCGTTAGTAAAAAAATTAAGATCAATCGACTTTTTGTGAAATTGTCTGCAGGACAGGACCTAATTAAATCAACCAAACTATAAGTACATTTCCGTCACACCATTATGTCATTAGTTTAAACAAATCAATAATTGTTTGATTATGAAGGACACTTTAAGTTTATATATACACTTTGAGACTGTTACTAACATATAAAGCAATACTTGATACGTTTCTATCTTAAGAAAAACAAATACTTGCCCCTGACTAAATTTGAGCCAACGTGGCCAATACTCCTTAGAAACTAGTTCAACGCGTTAATTACTCGGCAATGCCAGCACATTATTTTATACTACTATTATCATGACTACTTATTATAAAGATATTATAATTATTACTATAATAATAATAATTATTATTATTATTATCATCTTCATTATTATCATTATTATTATATTATAATTATTACTATTATTATTATATGCATTATTATTATTATAAGCATCATGATTATCATTATTATTATAATCATTATTATTATTATTATTATTATTATTATTATTATTTATTATTATTCACAATCATGACGTTTGATGTAAATGTTGAACTTTAGACCTGACTTTTGCACGCGATAAAAGATTAAGATTCGTCTAAATTTGTTTTGGAATAACACATTTTTTGTATTGGCAGGACAATCTATGCACTTTTACAAAAAAATATATATATATCATATTATTAGACGTACAAAACCAGTAAATAGAAGCAAAATCTTTTCAGATAGAAGTTTTAATACAATTTGTCTAAAATTATGGAATAAACTTGACAGAGATCTTAAACAAATGAAATCTGTACAAATTTGAAAGAGACAATTGAAAACTATTTATCATGAAGGACTTCTCCTCCCTTTTCTAAGCACAATATTTATAGTTAGATATAAACTCTGCTGTCCAAAACTGTTGAATATTTCTATACTGTAAAGAAAGATGGAGACTGATATCTATGTGTATTTATATGTATGTATATCTGTGATATTTGTATATGTGTCTATGCATATGTATGTATGTGTGTGTTTGTGTCTACATATGTATGTTGTAATTCTTTTTATTAATTTTGTCAATATAAAATGATGTGTATTTCAATTTACTATTGTAAATGTCTTTTAGATATTAGTGCTCGCCAATTTTTTTAAGCCAATCACCGACGAGGATTTTTCAAATTTTCAGGTTTCAAATCTTAATAGAACAGATTTTATATAAACTGGACGTTTTATATTATAAAACGCAAGTGGGCGGAGCTAAGTTTCGAAGAGCGCTAAAGTGAAATATACGCATGTGCAGAGATCTTGAAGTTTACTCCTACTAATCAATATTTATGCATCATGTTTTTTCCGTACACGCACATGTATATCGTCACTACGGCATAGAATTAAAAAAAAGAGGTTCATTGAAATGAAAATAGGCAAAATAACAGTAAAAATGTTTTATTACTTACGGAACCAGTATCATTTTATAATTTCCAAATAAAAAGTTCATTTATTCCAACAAAGTATGTATGTAATATTTCTTACTTTTTATGTAAATATTACAGCCCGTGCCGCTGCAAAACCGAAAGTAGGGTGTTTTTATTAATTTTACATTTATTTTTGACAATATACTGCCATTTGTCCGAAGATGATATGTATATGAACATAATAAATATGTATGATGCATATATAATCAAGCTACACGTTCATTTTAGCCCGAAAAATATGTCGAGGTGACGGGCGAGGCAAGACATGTCGACTTTTTGTAGCTTATTGTGAAGTTGCAGTACATGAAAATCGGGCACATGACAAATCAGCACATAAATAAAACATTCTAGTGTTCCGTGGTATACATCTTTTCTACGTGTCATAGGCCTACCTCCTTTCCTTATTACAATGAATTTTTACTGCATTGTTATCCATCGCTGGTTTGTTTTTAGCAGAGAATGACCGGGTACCGTTTGAGAATATTTTGCAAAGAGGGTACCGCCGTGACATTGTCTGATTTACCTTGACAGAATGCGGGAGTAAGCTATGCAAAACACGTGACCCGTAAATGTGTACCGCTATCCCTTCCAAATATGGTTATACACATTTCTAGGCTATCGTGTGACGTCACGCAGAGTGTTGGGGCGGAAAAATGGGCGGAGCACTAAGCCGGTTAGAGTGCATATTGGATGTTCTTCGTAAATAAGAAAGCTACAGTCGCTTCGCAAGCTCCGCTCCTTTTTAGCTTTCTTATTTACGAAGAACACCCAATATGCACTCTAACCTATACTTGTACAACGCCATTAAATATGTTTTATACGTAGAAACAAACTTTTTATCAAATAATCAAGTTTCAATGTACAAGTAAATGAACAGAAATATCCACCAGTTTCTCTTTTTTCTTACAATATTGTCACACGCAAACACGCTTTTTATTGTTTTTCTTTCTTTCTTATATGAATGAAGAATTAAAT